CAGCAGAGAGCTGGGTAGCTCCCAGAATTGCTGTCTGCAGGGCAATAATCATTGACCTACTTGAGATCAGTCCTGAGTTGTTTGGCATTTAATTCCTAAAAGTAACAGCCAGTGAGTGAACAGGGCTCAGTGCTACTTGCACTTGCTTTCTGTTCATTTTTTTTTGCTGTTCCCAAGAAATCTTAGGCTGTGCTTTCAAGAGAACTCAACACCTAGATTGAGGACTTGTGTTTCCTTAATAGCTCTGTTCCCACGGAATTGCCTGAAAGATGCACTCAGCACTAAGTGCTAAGCTTATTTAGGCAGTCATTGAACTTGAGAGCAGGTTGGGGGGGTGGCAGCGGTTTTACTAATCCAATTGTACTGCCAGGACTGAAATATGTTTAGAGCAGCCCTTTGGTGCTTTTGAATCCTGTCATGGCACATAGTGTTTTTCAGCTGAACAATCACCTTGCAGTCTATCCAGAAAAGCCACTACTGGCTTTTGGATTGTGGTGAGAGCTTGCCAGCATTTGTACATGCCTATGTACAGGTAGATGTGGCTGCGGTCCTGGTTCACTGGGTATTTTCAAATCAGCTGTCCTTTTGAAGCTGAGGGCCAAGATAGGGCCCTGGTTTTCCTTGTGTGGACAAGTCATGGCATTGCCTCCTTTCCTGTCCTAAAAAAATGCTTCTCCATATCGGAGCAAGGAGTGGAGGCCATGAGCCTCAAAGGAAGGTAGATTCCCTGTTTCTCCCACCATCACTGAATAAGCTGATATGGGATGGGTTTGTTTCCATAAGCAGAGGACACTCTTCCACAGCAGTGAAAGGGCTTTGCCTTTGGTATGGAATCACTCCCAGCCCTGTCTCATAAAATGCTGTCATGCTCAAGGGGCGCTTCCTTTGTGAGCCCCTGGGACTCATGGGAACATATGCAAACCGTGCTATTTGTTACACTGCATTTGGTGCTGGCTGCTGGTTTGACAGAGGAAAACTGGGAAATCTAACCCTGCTTTATGATTGATGTATTTTAAAAGGAATCAGAAAGCAGGTTAAAAAAGCATTTAAGAGTGTATCGGTTTTGAGATATTTCAAAGGTAATCTCTTGCCTTTAGGAAGCGTGATTATTTTTCAATATCTGAGGTTTGCTATCTCATTACTCAGCGACAGCAAAAGCTGTTGTCCCTCCTGCAGGCCCTGGTTTCCGTCCTGAGTGCCATGCAGAGATTAGAGCTCTGCTGGCTGGCTTTCAAGCCCTGCAGGAACCAGCTAAATGCAGTTATCTTTAGGTAAATGTAGATAGCAGGCCCAGAGTGGAGGTACTCAGATAATGTGCAAGAGGCTGCCACCATGGAGATTTTTCTGGGAAGTGCAACCAAACTCTGAAACTATGTTCAGAGAATAGCTCTGTGTACATGTTAGGAATTGTCAAAGCAGAAAGCAGGTGACAAAATCTCCCACTCTTTAAGATATTCTTTCCCTTAAGAACACACTGCCCTGAGTTAATTTTCATACGATGAAAACAAACTAACAAACTTGGGGACATGGCCCACAGCAACACTACCCACTGATGTGAGCCATTATACTTTCACCTGCCACTTCTGGTCCTGTCTTTATGGTCTTGATCCTACAAATCTTACTGATCAATTAAATGAGGCATTTTGTCTTTCAGTCTCATGGAGACAGAGCTGCCTATATAACTGTGTAACTGGACACTGGCCTGCCTGGCTGACTGTATTTCACAGGATTTCTGTGCCCATACAGATGGAAAGAGGTTTTGGCTGGAGGCTGCGAAACATTTATTTGAAGGATTTTCTGCAAATAAGCACATATTGTAATGGCTAGACTTGTAAATGCAAAGCTTTCATATTTGAGAAATATATTCTTTGACTGAGATTGATGAAAACGTTACATAATTTATGACTGAGTGCTTGTATGACTTAAGAGTCATAAACCCAGCAACAAGCCAGAGACAGTGGAGGAATCCTGCAGCATATCTCTGCAACTCTTCCTACAGGAGTCAGGGACTTGACTCCCCAATAAATTGCATGGAAGGAAGGCTATTGCTTTGTCCCAGCAGAAACTGCTGACTATTTTGCTCAAGGGGCTTTCAGCCTTCAAAATTGGTCCTTTTATGAAACACTTCCCTTCTATTGCCTTGTGTTAGCTTCACAGCGTGGTGGGAGAAGGGGGAACCATGTCAGTACTCCACCCTTCACTGCTCTAGGTTCATTTAGTATGATGTAAGTGACTGACCCTGGCATGGATTTGGCTTGCTGTCTCTCAGTTAAGAGAAGTTGAAACAGATGTTTAGTGTTCATTTAGTGTTCAGGATCATTGTTTCCCAGTGTTCCTGTCTCTAACACAGTAATTACTCTTCCTTGAGGGTCATTCAGAATTCAGCTCTGTGAAGAAACTGTTGGTCTTCATTAAAGGACTAACTGCTTTTTCAAAGATCCTTGTCTAATTGTACTTTGAAAAACATGTCACAGTATTATAGATCTTTTGAGGTAGCTACTGAGTAGAGACATATATAATTGGTCCTTTGGATGGTAAAAGAGAGATGAAGGATGTCAAAAGCAAGGACAATGAATGTAGCAGTTATCTGGAGAAATGAGTATGCCTGATAACATAAAAAGCTCATCAGTCCTGTGTGAAGCTGAAACATAGACAAAAAGGTAGATACAAATATATTGGATGTTGCACAAATGCTTGAACCAATCATGTAAGGAGACACTAAAACGGTTATAGTGATAGCACACAGTATTACAAACTTCTGCAATGTTATCATGAGTCTCCTGCTGCTTGGTAAATTCCTCAATTACCGTATTCTTTGGTCATCTGGTTATTCAGGAATTTCTGCTTCATATTTTAAAAAAAGCACCTCTGATAGAATAAGATAGTTGCACCTTTCAAAAACAAAAGGACAAATTGCAGTTTTATTTAATGAACCAGGTGCCCTTCATTCATCAACTGTAGAACATAATTTTTTTGCCAAGCCTTTTTGTCTCATAATTGCTTTGTTTCAAGTCCTGATTTTGTGGGGTTTGGACTGGCAGTAGTCAACAAATGCAGCTTGTTTCTGTTTGGGGGTCTGCAGGTGGTCCCTGTTTTGGAGAGGATGATCCCTCTCTGTGTTGAGCCTTTTCCATCTTGTATGAATAATTATCTGCCTAAGGAGGAGGATGAACCATTGCCTCCCAGAAGATGTCACCACCCCTCACATTACTGAAGAAGTCTCCTCTCCTTCCTCAGTTTTTTCAGCTGGAGTGCCTTTATGGCATCAATTATTCATTGGGCCAGTGACAGACTGGCACGTGAGAAGAAACTGAAGCCCTGGGTTTCTGCGACAGAACAGGGCTGGCTGAAGAGGCATGCTGTGGCATCGAAGCAGGTGAGGGAGAACACAACTGTGTCATCCTGTACCTTGTACAATGTCCCCTTGCAGAAATTACCATGTGATCACTAGGACTGTACTGAGAGCTGACTTGCTGCCTGCCACTGTGAGTTTAAATCACACTGGGATGCCTTAACTCCAGTAAGCTGATCCAAGCAGAGCTAAGGCTTTGCGTGCTTGTTTGCCTCTAAGGTCAAAACTCTCTGAATCCCCAGGGCACTGTTTTTCCCTCTCACGGTGCTTCCCTTGTGTGGTAGTGTGACGCACAAGTTCCTCCATGAGCTGTGTGGGGCTGGTGAGCACCTCTAGCGGCTGGGAGCCGGGGCACTGCTCGATAGAGGCCTGAGCTCGCAGGGCCAGCAGAAGGCAGTGCAAAGAGACCTGGCAGGTGACTGATTTAGATCAGAGCGGGCTGTTCCTGCTGGCAGCAGTCACTGACAGTGCAAAAGAGAGCCTTCGCCTCTAAAGACACTAGGCAAGCTCTAACGTTGAGTTTTAAACTGCTCGAGTCTAGGTCCAAGGTCCATTAAGGAAAAGATAAATGGAGACAGACTCCTGCAGCTGCTAGCAGCTCTGGCTCACCTTCCAATACATGTCCTGGTTCCCTCTCTGGCACTTTGAGCAGCTTTGAGAAGCCTGGTCTAGTGGAAGGTGTCCCTGTCCAAGGCAGGGGGGTTGGAACGAGATGATCTTTGAGGTCCCTTTCAACCCAAGCCAGTCTATGATTCTTTCTCTAGCTATAAAAATGACCCCAATGCCCTGTCCCCACTGAATTAGTCATAGCTTGTTGGCAACTGCAGGGATTTTTCCAAGGGTCGCTCATGTTGGATACTGCGGCCCTGCTGGGTATTGCTGCCATGCAGGCAGCCTTTCCAGTCAGCACACCAGCCCCTTCCATTACAAGGCATGCTGCGAATAATTCAGATGCAAAACCTCACCCTCTCTCAGCCTAACAACTCCTTGAGGCCTTGAATCTCACCGGAGCTATCTCCCTCATACTATATGAGGCCTCATCTTTCCAAACGTTAGGTTCCTGACGGGATGGGGGAGATTGGCTGGTGTTTATGGGAGCCGACAGGAGGCGAAACGACCCATCTGGGAAGCCGCCCCTCCTCTGACGGCCCCGGAGTGTAGATGAGGCAACACCAGAGCTGCGGAGGCAGAGGTAGGAAATGACACACGGTGTTTTGTGCTGGGAGCCACACCAGCAGCTTAAAATGCCCTATGTTTTTTCTTTTCCCTCCGCAGTAGAGGGAAATAAGTGCAGGAATAACCCACGAGGAGGCAGATCCTGGAAAAAGTCTCCAACTTCCGATGCCCGTGCGGGAAAACACCCTTCTCCCCCCGCTCCCCCTCTTCCGCCTCCGCCTCCGCCTCCTCATCCTTATCCTCATCCTCATCCTCATCCTTATCCTTATCCTTATCCTTATCCTTATCCTTATCCTTATCCTTATCCTTATCCCCATCCCCCTCCCCCTCCCACTCCCACTCCCGGGGAGGTCCTCGAGCAGCACCCCCGGCGCCGGAGGCTCCGGACTAGGGAGGAGGGGGGGCCGAAGCCCGGCCCAAAACAGACCGCCCCGACTCGGCCCGCCCCGCCCCGGCGGCTTTAAAAGGTCGGCGGCCGTCAGAAGCCATCAGAGCGCGCAGCCATGGCGGGGGTGACTGGCCTTCTGGTGTTGCTGGCCGTGGCTCTGTTCTCCGCCGGCGTTGTGCGGGCCGGCGAATACCGCCCGGGGCTCGTGGGGGCCCCAGAGGTCATCGACAACCCTGAGAACGACGAGGGGCTGCAGCGGGCCTTGCAGTTCGCCATGACGGCGTACAACAGGGCCAGCAACGACATGTACTCCAGCCGGGTGGTGCGGGTCATCAGCGCCAAGAGGCAGGGGAGCGGCGGGGGGGAGGGCTGGCACCGTCCGGAGGGCAGCTAGGGCCTGTGGGATTCCTTTGGAGACAGGGCAGGCCCCAAGCCCGAAGGCGTCTGCAAGTTGTTCGATTTTTTTTCCCCACGGAAGGTGAATAAAAGCCCTCTTTTATATAGCTTGGTTCCTCTGAATGACCTTGAGTGCTGCGTGTTATCGAAGAAGCCAGTGGCCTCTCTGTGTTGCTGATGAGTTAACACGGGTCTGTTTATTGTTAAGGAAACTGCTATGTGAGACGTGTTTACCTGGATTTTGTTTTCTATTTCTGAGAGGGTGCCAAGTGCCGCTTTTGTGGAGGTTGCCACATACACTCCCTTCTTTACTCTGGGAATCTGTTTTCCATCATGTAATAGGAACACTGCCTGCCTCTTTGCTAGACTTGTCTCATCAGAGAGCCCTTTTCTCTGTGCTGTGAATAAAGTTGCCTCTGACTTGTCTTGTTACAGATTGTGGCTGGAGTCAAGTACATAATGAAAGTTGAGATTGCCCGGACAACTTGCACAAAGCCAGCAGCTGATCTCCAGCGCTGTGCTTTCCGTGACGAGCCGCAGATGGCTAAGGTAAGCTCTAGGGTACACAGCTTACTGACTCCCTGATTTCCAGCCTTATCTCACTGGCTGGCTTAGTACAGATGGCAGTATCCTCTGTCTGCCCCAGCCAAGAACAGAGACCTTATGCCTGTACACTTAACAGGGTACTGCTCTTGCAGAACCTGTCTTGCCAGGTGATGTCAGAGAAGGCAGGGCCTTTTGCCAGTTTCATAAGTGGGGCACTGAGGCTGGAGCACTGCATTTGTCTCAGTTCTATTAGCAAGTGCTCATGGTCTGGATCAGAAGGATATGTCAGGAGGAAACTCTGCCAAGCCTACAGGTCTCCTGGCTCTCAATCCCTGTATCTCAGCTCTTCTTTCCCATAGTGATGTAAACATACTTGACTTGGCATGCTTTCCCGTAGGACTTGTACTGCTGTGAATAGAGGTTTGGGCAAAGCACTGCCCAAAAGAGGCAGATTATTCCTGTTCTCTGTGCCCGCCAAGGCGTTACACCAGCATTTTGTCCAATAGCAATGCTCTGTAAGGAGTAACTGAGCTTTTTGGATGGGAGCACCAAATATGTCTGCCTTGATCTGATCTGTGTCTAGTTCTTCCATAGCATTTTATTTCTTCTGTTAATGGCAGTCACAGGCTGTATGTGTATGTACCCTTTGTACCTGTGTGTGTATGAGAAGTGTAGCTGCACACAAATGATCCACAAAGCACCTCACTAGAATCTGATGTGTACCACTATGGCAGCTGCAATGATTTGACATAGGTACATATGTATTAGCTGTCCAGGTGTGCTTAGCTGTGCCTGGAATCTTATGTTTGAGTATTACCCGTGGTGAAAGCTTTCCTCTGAATGGATAAAGGAGGTAACCTGATCCTCAGCAGTGCTGACTGCTCAGCTTTACTTGTTAGGACTTATTTGAGAGACATGACTCATCCTGAGCAGGTACTAACAAGAGTGCTGCTTCAGAGTACTTGTCTGGAGAGGGCAAATCTAGAGAGCCACAGAAGTGTAGAACAAGGGTAAATGACACTGTTTTATGCTCTTAATCTGGTAACTACTTCTTTCTTTCTCTCCTTAGCATACCATTTGCAACTTCGTAGTACTGAATGTTCCTTGGCGAAACCAAATTGAGCTACTGGACAGTAAGTGCCAGTAAACCTACCTTGATTCCAGCAGAAACCAGCAACCAGTTACTCAGATTTAAAAGAAAACGGCAATAACACAAATAGAGATGGACTTTATCAACACCTGTAACTCAGCTACTTATGTATGCTTGTGCTATGCAAATTAAACCATGTAACTTTACTTTTAAAGCACAGTATGATCTCAACTTTTTCTTCTTTGGAATTATTATTTTAGAGCAGCTGTTCTGATCTTTCTGCAGCTTTCCCAATGAAGTCACTCCACCATCAGAATTCTGATTAAAACTTAATTAATAATTGCTGTGATGTGTGGTTTTCTTTGATCTTCTACTGTCTCGGAGGGAGGGTTTGCTTTTATTTGTCACCTAATCTCCTTGTCCCTTAACCTAGCCTCTAGTTTTGAGTAAGTGATGGAAGTCTTAGCTGTTTTCACTGAAGGAACACTGCTTTTGAAAACACTTTATCTTGGGAAGATTAGCCAAAGCTGGTACTGAGGCTGTAATTGTTTTGGGTCCTGGTTGCAGTACTGTTGTGTTATAAGGCTGCATGTGCAGCTGTGCTTTGTAAGAGTTAACCATTCTAGTGTCTTTCTGCACTACCCTTTTTTTTTTCCTAGGTTTTAGAAACTCTTGCTTCCTATGGCATCTGATCTTTGCAAGCTGTATCCTTAGCTTTTTCTGAGCAGGAATTCTTGGTGCTTTCCTTCCAGTCCAACCAGTAGCATGGCTCACTTCATTTATAACTTAAACTGTGACTGCTGGGGGAACAGCTTCTTTGGCATATGTGCCTGACCTGTGACAGCTCCCATTTGCAAACAGAGATGGTTGCAGAAATGCTTGGAGTAGATTGGTGATGAGCCTGTCTCTGGGGAGACTGAACTATATCTGGCTGCGTATTGCCTGTGGGTAATTTGAATGATGTCTGATCTGGGCAAATGCCTTTAAATCCGTAGGAAGAGAGGATCAGCACCCAAGAACTCTTATGAGAACTGGCCGAGGTATTTCCTTGAAACTATGATGAATTTATATTGAAAAGAAACTGGGAATACTGTGCCTGCATGGGGAAGGACAGATGACCCTGAAACCCATAACCTATATAACCTGAGGACAGCGCAGTGGAGAAGGAGGAAAAAAAAAAGGAAAGTTAGTAATTGGTCTCAAGTGGGTACCTGATATGAAAGAAGTGTCATCAGCCAGTGTAGTTTTATAGCAAATGGGTATTGTACACAAAACCTGGCTTTGTTCTGTGAGCCTGAATATTCCCTGGAAGAGACCCTCTAAATCCGAGGGTGTGTCCAAGTTTAGAGGTGCCTTTCACTCAGTTAACTCATTGCTGCTAGTTTCTATAAGTGTGGCACCATATTTGATGTTGGTGTGAGCATCACAGGGAAAGACAGCTCCAGATCTAACTGGAGGTAAAAAAGAGAAAGTAGCTTTTCCTTGTCTTGAGATGTGATGTCCCAGGTCCCAAGCAAGAGAGACAGGCTTTTCTGAGCAGAGCAGAAGGCAAGTGAGACTGGAGCTTGGGATCATGTGTAGGAGGGGTCTTTTGGTTTTTATTCTTGGTGGAATACTGGAAGGAAGAAGCAGGATCCCCTTGAAAGAAAGGGGAAGGTGCCAGGTCAAGAGAAAGAGTCTTGGGAGTGGGTGAAGGTGCTGAGGTGAACAATGGGGATGCTTCTGGTTTTGCACGATCCTGATAGTACATTTCCTACTTCATCTTTGTCTTTGTTTTTCTGTGTTTTGAAGTAAACGTATTCCTTTTGGTGTAAATATCACCTATGGATAAAGTGAGTCCAGCTCCCTGGGAGTCCATCTTCTGTGGGTTGCTCTTCTGCCTAACGGAAATGGCACTTCCCATCATTGCTGGGGTTTGACAAGCTTGCGCTGAACATAAGGCCAAGATCTTCATTCATGTTGTCAGGAGGATGAACTGGTTGCCCAACACTAAGAATCTGCATCTGAGTTGTGTTGAGAACCAATAGGAATAAATCCCCCTGCTTCCTCACCATCATCACCCCCATCTCTGAGTGCTCTGTATTTTTTTTATTGCCAACCATGTCAGTAACTGTGCATGACCCTGATGACCCTGGGGTGACAAGCTGCTCAGGTGCCCTCACTTGTCCTCTTCTAACTACTCCATTCATACATGCTTATTCCCCATCTTCCAATCTATCTATACAAGTATTAGGCAGTGATGAAGGGGTTCCCTCATGCTTTTGGTGGGTTTATCTGTTTCCCTTATGTTATCTTGGTTTGAGGCATTTCTACCACTTTGCTGTATGTATTAACCAGCAGCTCAGAATAGCATGTGGGCAAAAGAGTGGCTGTGCCAGAGAAAATGAGTTTGAGTGTCATAAGCTCCCGAATCTGAAGGTATTGCATTTTCATGTTGAAATGCCAATGACTCACGGCATGAATGAATGGCACAGATTACCCCATACTCACAAGCTGCTGAGTGTCAGCCTTGGTGATTATCTCTCCATGCTCTCTACTCAGAAGTGCCAAAAAGGCCTGACCTAATTTAAACACTGTGGGCTGTGTTACTTTGCATTTGCAACAGGCTAAGAGCATTAGTGGAAGTTCCTGTGCCAAGAGCATTTTGCTTGGCTGGCTGGTGATGGCTCAGTCAGCTGAACACTGAGCTCTCATTTTTAGCTGCTTTCCCTGCCTAACTTTGACACCAACGTTTGAAAAATATGAACAAGTGACTAGAGAAGTGCTTGTTTTATGTTGTGTCTTTATGTTGCATCTGATGGATCAATTTTGGGGTCATTCTTCCTGAAACTTAGGGAGATCAGAGCTTTGCTGCTGTTACAGATCATGAACCTAAGGCTTTTTCCTGGCTCTAGTTCTCAGGGAGAGATTTAGGGCCAACTATGTGAGAAGTCTGGCTCTCGTTAGCAGTGCTTGCACTTGCAGATCTGTGCTCAGATGAATTTGTGGCTCCCAGCTCCAGCAAAACACAGCTAAGACATGTTCTGGAAGTCACAATGTTTTTGGAGCCTGTGGACATTACCAGTGTGCCACAGCTTTGGCATGCTCAGTTGAAGACAGCAGGATTATATCCTCAGTGTGAAAAAGCAGTGAACACCCACACACCTCTTTTCCCGTGGTCCAGGACCTCATTTAAACTCAAGCCTGGGTCCTCTGTCCCTGTCAGAGCTGCATTAAATATGTCCTTATCTCTTACCCTGGCTGTGCATGGGTTTTGGACCTGCCTTGTAGCTTTGTCTGCAGGCCCTTCTCCTGCTCTGGAGTGGGCATCTTGGAGGGACCCTGTTCCTGGTTCATCCTCTTACTGTGTCTGGGGCTGTTTATGGAACCTGCCCCAGCTCTGCCAGCCATGCTGAGATCCTATGGGACTGTGCCCTGTTGGGGAGGGTATGGCCAGCACTGGAGTCCCCCCAACTCCTTGGGTCATTCCCTGCTCTTGTGGCTACCTGGGAATGGCCCTGCAGGGTTTTTCTGAGATTCTTGAAGCTGCACTCCTGGCAGGTATGAACACTTCCCTCTGCACACAACCTAAATTGCAATTTCCTGCAATTATGAAAGGAAGTGACCATGTAAGGGTCCAGGTCATGCTGCAGCCCTCAGTCTGGGTCACCCAGTGTTGTTGCACATGTGCATGTGCTCAAGATGTACAATCTTGCATAGACATCTCTTAGTGAGTGTTTAAAGATGCTTGGTTGCTTGTATTCATTGTTAACATGCAATGCCTTAGAATCACTGTAGTGATCAGGAGATTAGATTTACCAATCAAACCCACATCCTGTTTTGAATCTTGGTGCTTTATGTCTTGACACTGGAGAGGTAAGGCTTCATATGGGCTATTTCTAACCTTCCTGGAGGTGGATGTGGGTATATGCGAGCCTAGGGCTGATGATGGGGAAACCTTTCTCTGCTTCCAGCTGGAGCAAAAACACCAGTGACTCATGATACCCTCATCATACCATGCCTCGTTGAGAGACACTGTCTCTCCCCACTAGCTGAGAAACATTATACCTTGTGCTGTGCCATCTCCACCATTTTTTTTTTTTAAGCATCCAGCTGCAGAAGAAACTGGGACTCAGGCCTGGTCAGGGATTGATTTTATATCTTGAATATAAAAGTTAGCAAGAAAAGAGTTCTATCAGGTGAAGTTCCCCTCTCCCTTGTCCTAGGTGAAGTCCCTCCATCTGTCCAGTGAGTATTAGTTTCTTCCCTTCTTGTGGGGCCAAGGAGAGAATCTCAGGCATCCCTGGAAGAAAGTTACTGTCTCCACGTGCCAGAAGTGGCTAAAAATGGCTTAAAGCCTGTGGTGTTAACATCAGTGAAACTCCATCCTCCAATGTTCCCAGTAACATTGCCCACCCTTGATTGTGGGGTGGGCAGTGAGGTTACTGGTGTTGTTCTTAAAGGACTCCCATGCCTTTGTTAGTGATGAGGGAAGCATGGACCACTTCTCACTGAATGTCTTCAACCCTCTGTCTTCTCCAGATTGAGTCGGTGCAGTGATGAGTTCTGCCAAGCTGCAGGTTGCTACATGGCAGAGAGGAAAATGAAGCACCACCCTCCATCACATGGCAGCTGCAACAGTTGCAGGGCTGGGGATCATGTCTCTTCACTGCTGTTTTCTCCATCACTGTTGTAGTCCTGTGTTTATCAAGGTGCAAGACAAGCTGTGCCAGGATTCATCCTAAGCAGCTACATGGGGAATTTCCTCCCTCTGGGTACCAAAGGCCAAAAGCACAGTGATTTTCCCACACAGGAGCACCAGGAGACTTCTATGGTTAGTGAGCCTGGCCTTAGCTTGTTGATGGCCAGACAATCTGGAAGAACAAACTGTGCTAAAGAGGCTGAAGAAAATATTGGCTTGGCTTTCTGGGTGACTTTGGTTTGCAAATGCAGTCATGCAGTTCTGAGTACATCCAGAGGAGAGGGGGCACCAGAGCCATTGGGAAAGATGCTCTTCACATACCATGTTGCAGCTTATGCAGATGAAGCTGGATGTACCAAGCTCTGCCTGTGCAGAGGTACAATTTGGTGAGCTTGGGTGTCACAGGGCTGGTTCCAGAGGGAATGTGTGGGAACTCTTCAGGAACAACCTTCCCTCAAGCAACAGCCTATACAATGGAATTAGTTTTGGGCCTATGAGCATGGCTTCATTGGACAGGTTGGCTAATTACACTGACCTTCCCTTGATAAAACTCGTGGGACTTTTTAAGATGACTATAGATTTTTAATTACCTGTTCTTCCTTGCCAAACAGCAGGTCTTTTCACTGTTTTCTGTGTTAGGAAGAGAACATAGATGGAAATGTT